AAATTGAATCAGTTATTCACAATCCCTATACATAATCATAAGTTTAAACTTTCATAAAATGCCTATTAAAATTAGAACAATCACTTGTGTGTCTAAAACTTAACGAATTAATCATGACACTCTATTTTCTAACTATTTAAGCAAAGGTATTAACAATATTATTAAAGAAGATTTTACATAGATTATTACCAATGAATGACATAGTTTAGATTTTATTAAACACAACAAAAATAAATCTTTGCGATTTTTGATTATTAGGAACATTTTAAAGGCATTCCATTTTAGGAATTATTTTTGAAGTATTACTATAATTATATAAATATCCCAAATTTCGACTTCAATATATTAATCAGAGTTTTTTTAATAACTATCTTCATAATGGAAAAAAATTAATAAGATAGAGGGTAAATTTTTTTAAAAATAAAATTACTAATTTTTTATCACTGTCTTATTTTTTCACAACTATGAAATAAAACTTTTACACTAAATATCATGTTTGTTTTTAGATTTATTGATGATTTAATTCCTCGTAATTTTCAAAGTTATGCAATCTTGTTAATAAATATTTACCTCGAAAAATTAATCTTATTCTGTAATCATATTGATAATTTTTTGGACAAGTATAAAAAAAAAGAAGAAAAAGTTCTCATCTGCGATAAAAGAACGGATTTTAATTTTAATGTAAATAAATTGAAAGCATGGAATTCTAATGTTTCCAAAAACCTTTATTTAAGTGCTATATTTAATCAAATTAACTGAATTAAAAGAACATGAAGTAATATTTATTTGTTCAAAAAACAAATAGACATACTTTTCCAAAATTTGATTAAAAACAAACGTTATCTAACAAATGTAATAAAATTCTACACAAAATCGAATTAAATGTACATTAAAATTAATGAATAAAAAAACATATTTTTTATAAAAAAAAAAAGCACTAAGTTATTTACATTAATGAAAGAGTTCCCATATACAGTTTTGATTCTTAAAAATCAGCGGCAACCAAGAATTAAATCTGTACTTTGATCTGTACTTTATTATAAATAAATAGAAATTTTAAAACTAATAAAAAACCTTCTCCCAAATTTAATTAAATAATAAATATTTGTCAACAACTGTAAATGTTCTCTAAAAATCATTGTATTTTTCCTGGATAAACAATAATTCTCTTATTTTTTCTTTCATAAATTTAATTTTTCTCCATTATTAATTTCTTCCCATTTTCCCATAGTATTATTTATCTCATCTTTTTATTAATGACGTATAAAAAAGATTGAGAATCAATGCTTTTATTTAAACTAGATTAACATTAATAAATGCTTGAAAAATTGTTTTAATATTTCTTTTTGAAGAAAATTTCTCTCATCGTTTCCTTTGGGTAAAAACCACTAGGAAGAAAGAAGAAGTTGTTTTTTCCCTGGAAGAAGAAATTCCCTGATTGAAATTAAAATCACAATTGTATTTTGATTTTTAAAACTGACTTTTTGAAATAATTTACAACAGTAAAGCTGTCTAAACGGCTAACCTGACTGCAGCAAAGATCTATTTAGCGGGGTCGAAGTTCGGTGATAATTCTAAAGCTTCTCAGAAAAGGGTCATCGAGACCAAAGAAGGGAGACAAGAAATGACGCCAGATCTTATCGCCAAAAGCTCCGTTAAGAATCATCTTACTAATGCCGAATCATTATAAAATGGCCTTCAAATTTATATGTTTAAAAGCAAATAATCTTAACTGCAAGAAGAGATGAATTCCATGAGGCGAGTTGACCTAAAACTGGGCAGTAAAATCAGTACTTATTGGACAGAATCCTATTATTTAGTTTCTACCTTTAAAGGATATTGCAAAATATTTTTAATCATTCGCTTCAGTCAGTTATACTTATAAGGGGATGAAGTTAAAGTAATGATATTGGTTTTGTGGAGTTCTATATTTAAATTTTTGTACCAAAAATAATTTATAATCCATATATTGACAGAGTGAGTAAAGTTCATAGATTGGTTTCATGTCAATTTTTGTTTAGTGGGTTGGTAACTAAGTTAGCAACGTTTATTATTATTATTTTTAATTTTATGAAAGTTTAAATTGTGGGAGCATTTTATTTTCACTGACAGTTTCCTTATCATTTCACGCGAATATTCGCCTAAAAGTTGATTTAATTACTCATCGTCGAACTCAACTAGACGGTCAGAACACGATGCCCTCTTAAGGTCAAAATGTCAATTTTTCAATATTTTGACCTAACAATCACGAGTAGTTCCTTCACCCTCTCCAGAAGCACATAATGAACCGTGATTAAAACAGAGAGGTGTTGAGAAAGCTCATTATTTTCTCAATTCCAATTTACTGATCTGAAAATTAACAAAAATTATCTGAAATAAGCTGGAAAATTCCCAGTAAATATGACATAAATAATTAATTGCTGTTTGATGCAAAATTATCAACAAGTTCATGAGAGAAAGAAAACGGCCTTAGAGTTATGTTGATTTTTTTTCGTAAATGATAATCTTACGTATTCAGGGTATATATATTTATGAATCAAAATTTTATAATGAATACTTCAAACTGTGTAGTATAAACAGCAAAAAAGAAGAAAAAAATCCATCATCATTCAAGGCTAAGTATGAAATTTGAAATAAGGCTGCAAATATATATATATATATATAAGTTCAAATTGTAGAGAAAACAAGGAAAAATTACGGAACTATGAAAAAAAAGGGGGGGGAACGAAAAATAACAATAAAAATGAAAATAATAAGAAACCGGGAATAAAATCTGAAAAAAAAGAAGAAAATTTATAAATTTCCGGAAAATAAAAGATATAATCTTTACATCAGCTCACACGATTATATTCGTAAAAAGGACTGCTTTCTAATATTGTATCAATACAGCCAAAGCAAAGTATATCAATACAATAGTGTGAGGAGCACTCAAAAAACATTTTTATAAAAAAATTACAACAAATAAAATAGAACACTTTAAGTAAAAATAATATGTAAAAACAGAAAATATTTTATATTTTCTTTTCTGTTTTTCACGTGATATTTTTATTGGGAAGTTCAAATTAATTACTGTCTTTCTGAAAATTATCTTTACAATGGAAAAGATATTTTTATTCAAATTGATGAAATACCACAAGGATCTAATTATTCATCTCTCTTAGCTAACTTATTTTTGCATTATTATGAAAAAAATTTTACTCTGAGTATTAAATTTGTTTTTAGATATATTGATGACTTAATTATCTTTAATTTCCAAGATTTTACTGTTTTATTGAGTGATATATACCCTGAGGAATTAATCTTACTTCGTAATCATGATGATAATATTAATTTCAATTTTTTGGATTTGGGTATTATAAAAGATGAAAATATCTGCTTTGTTGATTTATACGATAAAATAAATTATTTTAATTTTAATATAAATAAACTAATTACTTGGAATTCTAATGTTTCTAGGAGCATCTATTTAAAAACCATTTTTAATGAAATGAATAGAATTAAAAGAATATGTAGCAATATTTATTTATCCAAAAAACAAATAGACAAACTATTTCGAAATTTAATAAAAAAACAATAGATATCCAACTAAAGTAATTAAATTCTACATAAAATCATTTAGTTAATTATATATTAGGGCAAATAAATTTACTAAAAAATTTCATTGTTAATTTATATAATTTTTACCATGTGCACCATTTCGGGCAAATCCGTAGCTAAAATTATGTGCAAAACAGGCAATTCAAGTTTCTTTCTCTTTGTTCAGCCGAAGTTGAATAATCACTTATTAGGAGAAATCTTTTCTTATTTGTTATTTGTTGATTTGTTACGCATGCGCTCTGGGACTCTTAATGACTAAAATATTTTTGACTGCTCGCCAGTCAGTTGGATTAGCGATTCCGCGACTGCATGTTTATTTTGGCCCTTGAGAGTTTCAGGGCGCATGGTTTTCTTTCCCCAACTATTTTGAAAGTATGTTATAATTCAGTTTTTATTTTAAAGTTTTTAATAAATAGTTTATTTTGGCAATTTAGTTTTTATCTCGTTATTCGATGGCTCATATTAGTTAAATTCATGTTAGTATTCCCCACATTCTGGTCCGTCGAGCCGGAGGCATCGAAATTAAATTTTAGTTAGGGCTTTGAATTACTTTTCATGAGCTTTCAATATGCCAAAATTATTAGAAGAGCTACTTAAGCTGAAAAGAGTAGTTAAAAGTAAAGTTACTAGGGTAACTAATTCTATCTCTGACTTGTTGCAGGATACTGAACTTAACGTTGAACATTCTGATATTTGTTTACGTCAAATAAGTGAACTCATATTGGAAGTTTCGAATCTTTTCAAAGACATCTTTAGTTGTTTGCGATGAAGAAAATTATTCAGATTACGAAACTGAGCTTTTTGACTTACTGAATAAATTAGATAGCTTGGAATTGTCTTTAAAGAAACGAAATAGTAATTTGACCGAAAATAGTAATTTGACGAATACACAATCTCAAACTTCGGTTGTACCTGAAACTCCAAAGGCTTTCATCAATCTTCCAAACCTGGACTTAACTACTTTCTCAGGTTATTTATTTTTATGGATATCATTTCGAGATTTATTTTCCGCTACTGTACTCAATAATGAATTATTATCGAATTCTCAAAAATTGCAATATCTGAAATTATCAGTTAAAGGCGAAGCACTATCGTTAATCAACTCTATCCAAGTTTCAGATGGAAACTTTGAAAAGGCGTGGAAAGCACTCACTAATAGGTATCACAGTGAAGTTGACTTAGTTTATTGTCATTTAGATAAATTATTCACGCAACCCAGCTTGCAAGTTGAATCCGCTAAAGGTTTAAGGAAACTTCTGGATTTATCAACTGAATGCTTAGACAATTTACGAATTTTAAACCAACCGGTTGATAATTGGAATTCAATCTTGGTTTATTAATAAAGAAGAAAAATTGATACTGTCTCATTAAAAGAATGGGAATTATCACAGACGAAAGGAAAGATGCCGACTTTAGAAGAATTTCGGTCTTTCTTAGAAATGAGGGCACGCGCTCTTGAATCGACAAACATGCTACTTCAAAAACTGAAAGTGAGAGTTGAAAAAGTGAAGATTTTCAAAACTCAAATTTCGCCAACCGAATTGGAACGTTGCATATTCTGCGATGGTTCACATAGCATCTATAGATGTAAAAAGTTTCGTGCTAAATCAGTTCAAGAAAGAAAGAATTTCGTTTTTAAAACAAAACTTTGTTTTAATTGTTTGAAATTCGGACATACTGTAGCGAATTGTAAAAGCAAACACTGCAACTTTTGTTTAGGAAAGCATTATAGTTTGTTGCATGAAGAAGTTGAGGATTCGAACTTAGCGTCTGCTGAAAATTCTGAAATAAAATCTTCTGCCCATTATTCAACAGGCGAGAAATTTGATTGTGGCATCCTTCCAACTGCCATAGTTAGGATTTTTGATTCTTCTGGAATTGGTGTTGATTGCCGAGCACTTATAGACTCTGGATCTGAATTGAGTTTTATCAATCAAGATTTAGTTCAACGTTTGCGTTTAAAAAGGATGAACCGAAATATATCTTTGTCAAGTTTATCAGCGAAACCCATGACCAAAGTTAAAAACTTTGTAAATATTACAATTGGTTCAAGACTAGGGCCGGGATAGCCTGGTCAGTAGGTCACCATATCCAAGAGGTCGTGGGTTCGATCCTCGCCGGCCGAAGACTCCCCGTGTAGTAAATGGTGACTGATGCACATTAAATCTGTCGAGTCTCAAAGTCCTCTATGTTCCCACAACAAATCAATACCTCTGGGGGTACTGATCCAGAAGTTTCCTTGTCTTCTAGATTGGTTCAAAATTACAAGGCTACGGAGTTGAACGGAGTTGAGTTAAGTAGTCGTAAACCCATGAAATTGGGTCGGCTGTTCAACGACGGTTATAAAATAAAATAAAATTGGTTCAAGACTGGATCCTAACTTTTGCTTAAATATATCCACGTTAGTTCTTTAGAAGGCAACACGTAGTTTACCTCAACACAAACTTGACTTTGACGAGTTTGCCTACTTCAAAGTATTTCAACTTGCTGATCCAAATTTCAATCAGACAAACAAGATAGACGTGCTATTAGGAGCAGATGCAATTCCGAATGTTTTTCTTGGTGAAAAACATAAGCCAGCTAATGTCAATATTGCTGCCTTTCGAACTGTATTCGGATGGGTGGTCACAGGAAAAATGAGTTTTGCCCCTACGAAGAAAGTCAGAAATTTGCACGTTGCTTGCTATGATATCGACAAGAATTTTCAAACGTTTTGGGAGCTTGAACATACTCCATGTAAGAAAATTCTTAGTGAATCTGAAAAGTATTGTGAAGAACTCTTCCAAGAAGCTACGATGAGAAATGCAGAAGGAAGATTTGTTGTTCGATTACTGTTTAAAAGATCAAGTCCTGAATTGGGAGCCTCTAGAGAGTTTGCCATTCAATGTTTGAAATGCATAGAGAGAAAATTGAAACGCAACCCTGTTCTAGACAGAGCATACAGAACTTTTATGTGGGAGTATATGTCCTTAGGACCTATGGAATTGTTACCTCCAGAAGAACTATTAAAACCTGTTCATGAGACCTTTTATTTGCCACATCATGCTGTTACGAAATATGAAACTAGTGCTACAAAATTTCGAGTGGTTTTTGACGCATCGGCCAAGTCTTCAAACGGAATATCCTTAAACGATAAGCTTCTGGTCGGACCTGTAGTACAGGATACTCTTGCTGACATACTGCTTAGATTTCGCATCCACCAAGTAGCTATTGTGGCAGGCATCGTAAAAATGTACAGACAATTCAATGTCGAAGATATGGATAGGGACTATCGAAGAATTGTTTGGAGGGAATCCTCGTTAGATCCAATTCAAGACTGGAGGTTACGAACCGTAACATACGGTACAGCCTCAGCTTCATATCAAGCTACTAGATGTTTGAAGCTACTTGCCCTCGACGAAGCGAAGGACTTTCCATATACTGCTTTAATTGCTCAACGAGATTTTTACGTTGATGACCTAATGAGTGGTGCGGATAGTGAAACCAAAGCTATGCAGCTAGCACAAGAAATTATATCTCTTTTGAAAAGGGGTTGCTTAGAANCTCTCTTCGGGGGTTTGCGAGTTGAGGATTTTGTTTTACTGTCAGACGAGGGTATAGAATAGACTCCGGGTAAGTGACGTCACCGTCCACGTTCGAAGGCTGTGATTTTAGGGGTCTTGGTCTTCAATGGCAACCATCTTCTGATTGCTTTGCATTCGACGTGACTAAAAATGTATCTGCATCAGTTACGAAACGACAACTCTTATCTGAACTATCTAAAATTTTTGACCCACTTGGTTGGTTGTCACCAGTAACAGTTAAAGGAAAAATCCTAGTGCAAAAGCTATGGAGGAACAATCTAAACTGGGATGAAACTTTGCCGACCACGATTCAACGTGATTGGTTGACTCTGTCTTCTAAAATTAAAGACTTAAGGAACATCAGAATTACAAGGTGCATAGTGCTGAAGAACTCCATAAATGTTGAAGTTCTTGGATTTTGTGACGCATCGGAGAAAGCCTGCGCCAGTGTAGTTTACTTGCGAACTAGTGACAACCTGGGGAATTCGATGACAAGATTAGCGGTAGCTAAAACTAAAGTAACGCCGTTGAAGCTGATTTCCCTGCCTCGACTGGAGCCATGTGGATCATTACTTTTAGCTCGTACAATACAACAGGTTCTTGAATCTCTTTCCATGAAGTCACCAATAATTCACTGTTGGACAGATTCCAAAATTATCTTAGCTTGGATAATCCTAGTCGATGGAAAACGTTTGTCGCCAATAGAGTCAGATATAATTCCCCAAGCACAATGGCATCATATCAAAGGCGAACACAATCCTGCAGATTGTGCTACCAGGGGAATCAATCCTATTGACTTAAATTACCATCATCTGTGGTGGACAGGTCCTGATTTATCTAATATTGATACAAGTTCTTCAGTTAATGATTTGACTGAGGAAACACTAAGTGAAGCAAAACCGGTGAAAATTCATCACGCTATCCAACCAGAGAACACAAGCATCTTTCCATTTGCCAAATACTCAAGTTTGTCGAAACTGAAGAGAGTATTAGCCTACTGCAAACGTTTTGCTTCTAATGCTCAACCTGGTAGTTCGAGAAAATATGGCTTTTTAACAGCTCAGGAATTAGAATCAGCCTTGATTCACCTCATTCGCCAAGCGCAGAAAGATGCATTTCAAGATGAAATTGCAACCTTGATTAAGCATAAAAATCTTGCAGATCAAAAATAGCTCCTCTAAATCCCTTCTTAAACGAGAAAGGAATTCTTCGAGTAGGAGGCAGACCACGTCACAGTAAGCTATTAGAGACTGAAAAGCATCCGATTTTACTTCCCAAACAACACAAGTTAACAGATTTGATGTTGTCTGATATTCATCTTAGGTACTTGCATGCTGGTCCCCAACTGATGCTTTCAGTGCTAATTCGAAAGTATTNCCCTTCTTAAACGAGAAAGGAATTCTTCGAGTAGGAGGCAGACAACGTCACAGTAAGCTATTAGAGACTGAAAAGCATCCGATTTTACTTCCCAAACAACACAAGTTAACAGATTTGATGTTGTCTGATATTCATCTTAGGTACTTGCATGCTAGTCCCCAACTGATGCTTTCAGTGCTAATTCGAAAGTATTGGATCATTGCAGCTAGGAATGTTGCAAGGCATCACGTTCAAAAATGCGTCATTTGTTGCCGACATAAAGCTCAGACCATGGAACAGCTTATGGAGATCTACCTAGAGATCGAACTTTACCATGCAAGGCCTTTACAAAATGTGGCGTGGACTATGCCGGTCCATTTTCACTAAAAGCTTAGAAAGGAAGAGGCAGATCCACCTACAAGGGGTACATCGCACTCTTCGTGTGCTTTGTAACAAGAGCTATTCATCTGGAGCTAGTGGGTGATATGACTTCAGAGGCATTCATTGCTGCTCTAAAGTGATTCATCAGTAGACGAGGTCAGTGTACTGATCTATATAGTGACTGTGGTACTAATTTTGTAGGTGCATCCAAAATACTGAAAGAGGATCGCAACTGGAGGTCTATAACCCACACAGATAAAGTATCCCATCATCCAGCCGACAATGACATAAGTTGGCATTTCAACACTCCGTCAGCTCCTCACATGGGTGGCATCTGGGAGGCAGGAGTCAAATCTGTGAAATACCATCTACGCCGCATTCTGGGACACACCATACTTTCTTATGAAGAGTTTTACACGCTTCTAGTGCAAATTGAAGCGTGCTTGAACTCAAGACCCATTACACCAATTTCAAGTGATCCCAACGATTTAGCTCCTTTGACTCCGGGGCATTTTCTAACAGGACAATCCCTAACATCAGTACCAGAGAGGGATTATTCATCTCTTCCTGACAACAGGTTATCTAGATGGAATCTATTACAAAAACTGATACAAACATTTTGGTATCGGTGGAAATCCGAATATCTATCCCGGCTGCAAAATCGTCCAAAATGGTATGCCAGCAGACAAAACATAAAGGTAGGTGATTTAGTGATCATAAAAAATGACAATTTACCACCTCTAAAATGGAATTTAGGAAAAGTTATTGAGACATTTCCAGGCAGTGACGATAAGATACGAGTTGCATCTTTAAAAACTGTTAATGGTATAATTAAAATACCAATTGTAAAGTTATGTTTATTGCCTCTAGATTCTACTATTTAGTTATCACAATTATTTCTGAAAATTCTAAGTTACTTAAAATAATTTAAAGTTTGAGTTTCGTATATTTTTGTGATTTTCAAAATTTATACTTTAAGATAATTGATTTTGTGATTCTAGAGTTATGCTTGTTTAATTTTTATATTAGATATTTTTAAGATAGCTAAATTTAATATTTCTTGAAACACTGTTCTGAAGTGTTCTTTAGTAATTTAAATGTTTTGAACAAGTTTAGGAAGTTGTGATTTGGCTCATTTTGTTACTCAATTGTTTACTTCATTAATTGTTGAAGTTAGTTACTTCAAGGGCGGCGGTATGTTCAGCCGTAGTTGAATAATAACTTATTAGGAGAAATCTTTTGTTAATTGTTGATTTGTTACGCATGCGTGCTGGGACTCTTGCTGACTAAAATATTTTTGACTGCTCGCCAGTCAGTTGGATTAGCGATTCCGCGACTGCATGTTTATTTTGGCCTTTGAGGGTTTCAGGGGTCATGGTTTTCTTTCCCCAACTATTTTGAAAGTATGTTATAATTCAGTTTTTATTTTAAAGTTTTTAATAAATAGTTTATTTTGGCAATTTAATTTTTATCTCGTTATTCGATGGCTCATATTAGTTAAATTCATGTTAGTATTCCCCACACTATTTTCTATTTTATTTTTTTTTCTTAAATAAATTTTAATTTTCTAAAATTATTAATTGTCAACTTCTTTAAATTATTCAGTATAATATTACCTTGCGCACATCCATTTTCGTGCCCATCCTTGGTAACAAACATATCAAACGCACTTCGGTACTGCAATAAGAGCGCACTTTAATACAAAACACCTCTATTTACGTTTTTACCTCAATTTGCGCTTTTGGTTTCATATTTTGCAATCTGGCAATCTCGTTGCGAAAATATTTCAAATCATTCTTGAAAAATTTCCCGTTCATGTAAATTCATTTGAACTCGCTTCTCACTTTATATTTTTCTTTTCATGTTTTATTCTGTTTTGTCTTTATATTTTATTTTCTGTTTTTACGTGATACGTTTACTTAATGTATTCTATTTTATTTGTTGTAATTATTTATAAAAATTATTTTTGAGTGCTCCTCACACTACTGTATTGATATATTTTGCTTTGGCTATATTGATACAACATTAGAAAGCATTCCTTTTTATGGATATAATCGTTTAGCTGATGAAAAGATTATATCTCTTATTTTCCGGACATCTATTAGTTTTTTTCTTTTTTTCCCCGGTTTCTTCTTATTTTTTTCATTCCCCCCACCTTTTTTTTTCCATTGTTCTGTAATTTTTTTCTTGTTTTCTCTACATTTTGAACTTATTTCATGAGTTCTATTTACTTGCAGCTTGTGCGCAGTAAATAAAACTTATTGTTTTTCCTAATCTTCTTCGTTTCTTTTTCTTTTGTCCTCTTTGTATATATATATATATA